TTGAACGAGAATCAATGGCGGAAAAACTCTATTTCGTAGAGAAAAGCTCTGATACCATATTAAGGAATAAAATGATTCTCATTAATTCCGTAAAACTGTGTTACAAGTGCTTAAATACATGATTAAGCTAAAGGAGACTTAACCAAGTAATAACCGAAACTAACCAACTAAACCAGTTATAATCAATTACTGAATTATGTATGTACAACTCTAATTAAGTTTTTACTTACTATTTTTCATGTCACTCTACTAATTCAATAACAAAACATGTCGGGCGAAGAAAACGGTAAATAAGGAAGGTGCGATGCTGCGCCACCAGAAGGAACAAGAAGAAGTCGCCCATTAAAAAAATTATTTTTTCTCTAGAGGATGCTAACTATTCGAAGAACAACGACGAGGTGGATTTGAACAAGTTACAATCAACGACATATACAAAAGCCGGAAGCTCTAACCAATTACTATAATGATCAAACCAAGTAGGACTAAATCGCCTCAATGTGCCTCCTATATGTTTTTGTTAAAAAATGTGTCCGTGAGGTTGGTAAGGACCTTACCAATATGTGGTACAATAGTCATTGTTTAATTTATCTAATAGACATAGTTGAAGTTTGATGAACCACAACAATTTTAGTACATGGACGAATTCGATCCCTGACCTTTAATCCACATAATGTGCCCTCTACTCACTCGAGAAAACGTCATCCTTTTGGTTCGGAGCTAATACTTTTCATAGCCATGACTTCCTTATTCTTTTTGATACTTCTGGTTTAATAAATCATATAAAAAATAGAGATTAGTCCAAATAATATATGAAAGTTCGTAAACTTGTCTACTCTAAACCATAATATTCAAAGTAAAAGAATGATCATGCGGACCTTAATGTGGTTTTGTGGTCCTCCCCACCTTCTGCGTTCCTCACATTTCCCATTTACTTCACATAAAATACTCATTTCCACTTTATCCAATGCCACCAAAAACAACGTTGTAACTCGTACGTACCTCCAATTTCAAATATTGTTTATAGGGTTTCTTCGTAAAGTTTTCAGAATATTTGATGATTCGATCTTATCTATATACAAATAATCCATTTGATACCATAAGGATAGTGTAGAATAATTAGAGAACTCAATTACGAAAAATGTTCATTGAAACAATAATCAGAAGTAACTTCAAAGACTATGCTGATACTACAGGAACATGCAGCTTAATATGTATGTTAATGTCGTCATTTTGTCACCATCCGGTTCAAACTCAGGTATTGCATGTTCTTGTATAAAAACAGACTATATATATGTTGATAAACTCTTTAACAATCTGATACTTATCCATCACAAAAGTACCAATCTTTCTAGTTTAAAACAAACAAATAAAAAACTTGCTTATGAGATAAAGTAGCTGCTACATAGATTTATCGATCCATGGGGTCAATTTTTCTTCCGTTGTACCATCATTCTTTCCTTCTTCTTTCCTGGTTCTTCTGAGATCGTAGACAAGCCTTGAAAGAGAAACAAAATTGTTTATTTCATTTTTTATATAGGAAAGATCCAAAACCACATATTCACACACATATATACATAAGAAATAGAATATACCATGATTTTTCTCCTTGAGCATCACCCTTCGAAGCCTCGTCGCTCTAACCTCTTCGAACAGCCACAAGGCCTCCATCTGTTTGCTGATCATTTGAACAGCATAGTAAGGGATTTTTCCATGAAAGCAGCGGCCATTGACGAACATAATACAGTCCATCAAGCTTTCTCTTGAAAGCCCTTTGATTTCGTAAGCTCTTGACCTTGTCCAAAGACTCTTACCATGCGAGTTCACTGGTTCGGACAAGCAAAGAGCTCTGGTGCAGTCACTTATGGCTGCGTCTACATATCCAAGAAGTAAGTAGCACTCTCCTCTGAAACTATATAGACTCATTCTCTTTCTCCTAAGTTTCAAAGGGCATAAATCTATTGCTTCTTTGTAGCATTTAATAGCTCCCTCTATGTTTCCTACACAAAGCAATTGGTTTGCTTGCTGCTTAATCAAATTCACAACAACACTTGACTCTGTTAGATTTTCTTGATTATCACTCATTAACTTTCTCTCCCTCTTTCTCCTCTCTACTTTCGTCTTCCATATGTCGTTCATGGCCTTTTGGGCCTTGTTAGTGTAAACACAACCTCTCTTTGTATTGTAATCCATTAGAAGAACCCGAGTTATTATATCACCTAGGTTTGGTCTATTACTAAGGGCTTTAAGCTCAACTAGGTCAACTAGATAGAACAATGATGTCTCTAAGACTTTGTACCTTGTTTCTTGGTCTTTGAGAAGAAGCAAAAGACAATCTATACCCATGTATTGCCAATCATCAGAAGACCGGGAGAGATTGCATAGACTCAATATCATTTCTCTCGATTCCGAGACATGCCCTCGCCCTTGTTTACTATAACAAAGAATCCTGATTAGTCCGATGCCTGCAGGAGAAGTGTGGTTTACCAATTTACCCCACATTTTGCTAAGCTCCTTGAGAAAGGTTTGGTTGCAAATAAAGGAAATAGACTTCTTCTTGTAAGCAAAGCAATTGAGTAAATGAAGTGACCAACATTGTAGCTGGCTTGCCCATTCCTCGGCTTTTTGGTCTTCCATCTCTAACCCTCCAAGTCCTCTAGTAAGCAAGTCAATATGATACCTAACTCTTCTTTCTCTTTCTTGAACACTCACAAACTCTTCGTACACAACATCAACACATGTCGTTGCAATCTCCATGGCTAATCTCACCACTTCATCCTCGTAAGCAGCCACTGCCTCAAACGTCCTCTCATAGCTCGCCAAGTGACCTAACGCCCTAACCGCGACTCTTTGCTCAACCCAACTCATTTTTCCTCTCATAAGCTCAAGCAATGGAGCTATGACACCAGATTCCACAGCTTTCGCAGCAAGCTCAGGATTCTTCATGGTGTAAGATCCAATGATATGGGCTGCATAGTAAGGAGCATACACATTTTGGCCAGTCATCACCCATTCTACATCCTCAAGACCTTTCTTCAGCAACTTTGTCATGCACTCGAAGACCCCGAGAGATGGTAACTCGGGGTTCTCAGGGTCGGCCATGGCGACCCTCCAAATGAAACTGAGTGTGAGAGCGAGCTCTGTGTCCTCTCTTGTCATGTGCATATCTCTCAGAGATAACTCTAACCATGCTTTTCTAACACAAGAGTCTTTTTCTTCCATGACACAGAAGAAACAACACGGTCTGAAACCGACAACAACGTGGGTCATCTTGGCCATCTTGTTTGTACTCCTGCAAGAGAAGTGGTCCATGAAAGATCTGAGATTTGTCTTGGCGTTTTTTGCTGTTTTTTTTTTCTGATTAAAGAAGCTTTAATACAAAAAAGGGGGAAATAGGGTTTATATGTGATCCAGGTAGATATGCGCAGATCAAAGTGAGTTTTTTGTTTTATGTGAAAAGTGAAACTAAAGTGGCCTAGTGATGTTATGACATCTAGCGGCCGCATGAGAAAGTGAATTTGCAAATGGTCGTTTCCATTTAAACAATTGAAAAAGTTGAATGAATTTTTTAGTACAGTATAGTCGTTTTTACTGACTTATGGCATTAACAGATTATGACATGCGTTGTATACGGAGAATTGTTAAGTAAACTGGAGAAGTTTTACTACGGATTATTTAGAATGTAATATCATATATGGTTAACAAATTGTAATGATGAAAAACCTTTGATTAATTTTAAGGATTGCAATCATATATATATATATATATATTCAAATTTGTGATATATTTAAACAATTGCCTTAGGCTTGTGCTTGAGGTTATGTTGCTTCACTAATGGCAGCAATAAACGTCTGATCAAACACCGAACGTGAGCAGTATTTTTTACTTATTTTCCCCAAATTAAATATATTGTTTTTTTTTCTGTCAAAAATGATTAAGTAGAAGAACCATAGTTTGCACGGAATCGCTCAAAAAATTACACTTCTCGCTTTGGAATTGGAATCGGAATCAGAATCGCACGGAATCGATCAGAATCGTTGGAAATCGCGATTCTGAAATTTTACTATTTGGAAACACTGAAGAATTGTTCGATTCTATAATTTTAGTCGGAATCGTATTCTTTGTGGTTGGAAACGTTGCTGCAAATTTCGACTAAAATTATAGAAGAAAAAGACAATTTTGTTACGTTTAATATATTTCAAACCCATTATATATTGGATTTTTGTTGTTTAAGTTTAAAATATTTCTTTTATATAGTATTTTATGTTAAGTGTTTCATTATATATATATATATATATATACACGCTTCCAATATGTACGGTTTCTTAAATATTTTGAAAAATTGGCTTCTCCGCATTCAAGCGCTTCCATTTCCGCGATTCCGTTTCCACGATTCCGCTTTCGATTTCAACTTAGCTATAGTCGATGCATTGGACGAAGTGAAATTATGAGCTTCTTAACTTTTGTCAACAGATGTGTGCCATCTTCTACGCATTGGAATTGGTGATAAAGAACTTCCCATGGATTAAACTTATACGAGATTTGGGGGTAGGGGGTCGTGAACGAAGGATAATGATGATTATTATTTTGCATAAAGACTTAATTTCGAAACAGAAAAAAATTTGCAATTTATTGAATACTAATTTATAAAGAATATACTTTTTTTTTGTCACCATAAAGATTATACATTACATTAGTTTCTTTGTCAAAAAATTCTCAACCGCAATGGTTCTTAGTTTATAAAAGGTTATAAATCTTGTTAACCCAGTTAAAAAACATAGAGAAGTTCTTATCAAATGTAACCCAGAACAGCATTGTATGTTTGATATTTGATTGGTTTAAAAGATAATGAGAAAATTGAAATATTTGGACATATTTTTAGATCAAGATGCTATAAATTGAATATTGATCATACAGTATTTAAGTTTGTAGAAGTGAGTTTGAGTAGCTTTGTCTCCTCAATAAAAATTACTAAGCAATAAAAAAAAGGATCCCAACAAATTTTCTCATTTTCATTCTTTCTTTCCTTATACATCAAAATAAGGTAACTACAACAATTTACTTGAAAAAATCAAACTGTCTTTAATTTTAAATGAATCTTGTTTCCTGAAATCTGGGGTTTAATTTCTTTCTATCAAATTCAAATATATATATATATATAGAGAGAGAGACTCTATAAGTGATGGTGAAGCTCAGGCATTAGATGTTTCAGAAGAGAGAGGCTGAAGTTCTTGTTCTTTAACAACAGCACTTACAGGCTCATAAGTAGCTTCCTCTTGCTTTCTCCTTCTCCACACCAATACAAGTTTGATCATCACCGAAGTAACGAGCAACGAGATCATCACTCCACCAACAACGCCAAGTAAATGCTTCTCCCACCAGCTCCTACACCAAATCACAAATCAAATCTAAGCGAAACAGCGATGATAGATACATGGAAAGGTACAAAGAGAAATAAAAACATTACTGTTTCTTCTTTTGTTCTGCCTTCCATTCTAGCAACTTGTAGCTTCCAAATTGCCCAGGTAGGCGTAACCGATTTTCCTTTAAAAGCAACATTATCTTCTGCAAACCACGTAAAAAAATAGAAGTCACATCTTTTTTATGGACGCATGAAGATATCTAAAGCAACAATGGAAAGGAGAAATTACCAATGCTGTATTATTGGAAATGTACTCGGAAAATTGTGGAGGAAAAATTCCCCATTTCAGGCGATACTCATTTTCTCTGGACGTGATACTCAGCAAGCGAACCTGTTACAACGAGAAGAGAGATTGAGTATGATTTTTATCACAACAAAAACACATTAGTTAAGAGAATTAGCAGAAAACGAATGTCTAAGCTTGCCTGTGAGCTTTGTATCTCTAACTCATGGGCAATGAAATCAGCAATCTCTGAGAAGTTGGGCTTCAATGAAGAATTGTTCACACTTATTGACACTTCGAAGGTTATACTTCCAATCCGGAAAACACCTTCAAGTTCGTAAGGTATAGTCAATAACAGGTTAACACCAAAATAGAAAAGAAAAAGAACCAATTCATTTCAAATGAATAGGTAATGGTAGAAGTAGTTTTAACTATTTCACCTCCAGAGACAAATGGAAAGTTTTACAAGAGGAATAACAATTTACTATCTTTGTATATAATCACCACTCTATAAACAGAGTTCTTGTCTTGTGAACAGAAATCAAAGAAGTAAGAGAGATAACAAAAAGAGTGGTTCAAGATAAATCCCTGAAAATCCGAACAAACTACCTGGAAGATCCACCGTAGGAGACTCGCTCGAAGCAGGGCTTGGAGAAATATGAGAAGTTTTATTCTGGGAAACTGGTGAAGTAGGTGCAGGAGAATCTGGTGCCGCCAGCCTCTTCCATAGATCGGAACAGTTGGTCTTCAAAAACCCGAGCTTGTCGTTTTCACGGTCATAAGTGACGAGCGTGTTGCGGACAACAATTCCTGATCACGTGTACCAACTTTATACTCGTCAGATGGAAGCCAGATCCAAAACAGAACTTAAAGTAGAGTGAAAAACACATGATCTGTCTTCAAACTAAATCGTACATGATACAAGCTTTCATTGGAAAATGGAAATGCAAGCAAGATAATGAAAACTGAGTCTACCTCCAAGGAGTGTTGTTGAGTCTCTATCAGGAAATATTCCAAGGCAGTAAGCGCCTCTAACTTTGGTGTGCTACACAACATTATCAGGAAAGACAAATGGAAACTGTTATAAATGCTTGCTTGAATGATGATCAAACATGTATTAAAATAAAAAGGATGAAGCCATTTTGCTTTACCCTGAATAAATAGTTCTCGGGAGAAAGGATTAGTTTCTGACCATTGCCGAATTCCATAGCGATCTCGGGGAAAAAATTGTGTATCTCAGCCACATCCCTGAACAGCATCCAAAATTAGCATCTTTAGGCATAAAACAAATTTCAATTTCCGTAAGATAGTTGTTTAAACAAACCTTCCAGCGCCAGAGAAACAAATATCATCATAATTTGGGTCTGGACCATGGATCCGTTTGAGAGATGGAATTTCTTTAATGACCTACACAAAATGACATTTCACATAAATTACAATAACGAAGAACCACCAACAGTTTCTATTCTAAGCTTATAAAAGTGAATTTCTTAGCCGAACATCGTCCATTGATGGTCATGACAGCTCCTAACAACTCACTAACATAATATCAGATCTTAATGTCTAAAGGATTGTGATGCATATGCTTATACTCTCAGATACTGAGTAGCGAAAACAATGAGAAAATGTTTATACGACTTAAGATATCTCACCGCATTCTTTATGGCATTAAACGCTTCCTTTGGAAAATAAGCATACGTTGTTCCACTATCCAACACGGTTCCATGCTTTCCGTTAAAGACCTTTGGGTTTAGCTTTAGAGACTTGCCAGCAACATGCATTTGTTTCAGGTCAATGTTATAGTATGGACTGCAAACACCCGAAACTACAGTGATGTGTGAGAAGCTCAATATCTACTCTCAGTTATTCATATACCAACTTAACTCCAAATCCAATGAAGTTACTCTACCTGCGGAAAGGATCCGAACGGGAAAACACCATACCAGCTGGAGGAGATATTTTACCAAGTACCATAGCACCACCACCAACTTCCATTCCTCCATAACACAACGAAAAAGAGTCCTCGAAAACACCCTTGTCAACAAGCTGATCTACAATACTGAGCTTACCACGACCCAAACCCATTATACCATCAGCACGTTGGCTGAAAAGGTCCCCTGTCTCCGCGTTCTCGCATCCAAAAACAGCTCTCTGCGGAGAAAGCTGGCTCTCGTTGCCAAAAGATATCAAATCCTCACTTAGAACCCCACTACTCGAGCTCATCTCAGCATATCGTCTTTCATAGACACATAATTTACCATCATCATCACAATTACAGTCAGGGTTGCATTTCAAAGCCTGGTAGCTACTAGATAACTCAGGTTGAAACTTTGGATCCTGAAAACCATTTCCACGCCTAATCAGAGATAAGCAAAGCATAAATTCATCGAAGAGGAGAACTAAAGCAGACTCAATACTCTCCTTACACCTTAATCAAAGCGCTAGTGAAATCTAATTGATTTCACCACATCATGAGTTAATCCCTGAAGATCATCTTCTTCTACAAACAAGTATCTAAGAAGATCCAAGTAAGTTAATCACCTGATGCTTCCCACAATGTTTACAGGTGGAGCAAGGTACGTAAGTGACAGTACTTCCAGTATCTACAATCAAAGCAAACTCCTGTGGAGGTGTCCCTATCCATAATCGTGTCGTATAGTAGCTGCATAAGATTGAGCAAACCACAATTCTCACGAATATCCGGGGGAAAAAATCAGGATCTTCATAGAAAACTAATTGCTAATTATTCGAAATTCAAACCCGTTGGCGAGGAGGTCGTCGTATAGCTTCATGTGAGCATTAGGGAGCTGAGATTGTTGGAGACGACGGCGGCGGAGATCCTCGACTCGCGGCGGAAGGGAGGAGTAGCTGAGCGGGAAAATCATCGGCGATTCGGCTGCTAAATCGAGCTTATCTGGAGTTTTATTAGCCGCGGTCAGATCGAAGAATATACAGAGGAGGATGAGGAGAGAAGCTCGATCCATGGATGGTGGATTAAGGAGATCAATGGATTTAATTGAAGAACGCCGGTGGCGACGGAGAAGATATGGCGGAGTTAAACTCCACCGTGGCTCGGTCGTTAGATCCTTCGTCGTGGAAGGAACAACGAAAAATTGAGAAGAGAGAGAATGAAATTGTCACGGTTGTTTCATGATTTTTCAATGTAAGTTTTTTTTAGTGCTTCTAACAAAGACGACGAAATAATTTAATGTGTCACGTAGCAGTTTTAACTTTTAACAAGTTTGGTGAAGTCAACGACTAAAAGTCACAAAGTGTTGCCTTCTTACGAGAGTTATAAGAAAATTACCAAAAAAAAAAAAAATTCCAGTAATAACCTACAAAATAATAGAAATAGCTAAAATACCTATTAAGATTTTAAAAATATAATATATTTGATAGAAAATTAGTCTGCCATTCTTTCGCCAAATCTGGCAAATATTTAATAGATTTTCTTTTTTTTTTGGGGTCAAAATTTAATAGATTTTCTAAATATTAGAGATATTATGGATATTTTGTAGATATTCTAAATCCGTCAAATTTATTGGTAACTGAACAATTTTTGGGTTCGATAAATCCCACGATAAATCAGCAAAATGAGGATGACATTTTTACTTTTCATAATCTTTTCCATTTTTTGTCTAAAAAATAAAATGATGAGTATGTTAATATTTGATGAAAAAAATCTTTTGATACTGAAACCACGTAAGAGCAAGCAAACTAATAAATTCGATATAAATTAACTATGTTTGATTCAATCACTCACATTTTTCTAAACTCTTAACTACAGTACAAACTCAAAATCATATAGCAATAAGAAATCTTAACAATCTCCAATATATTAAAGTGGAACTACTATTGGACACTTGACAGCTCTAAAATTAAAGTTGATATTTAGCTACATTATTAATTCATTTAAAATTAATTCTCCTACTATTTCTATAGCCAAACACAACATTATTTTCTAAAACACATTGAACTGCAATAAATTTTTCAAATATGTGTTCTTCTCTTCTGATTTTTTTGGGCTTCCAAATATTATTTTCGTATTATGTATATATTCTCTTATTAACTATTATTTATACAATTTGAATAAACATAATTTTACAATAAATATTGCAAAATAATATTATTAAGGAGATTGTTATTCATAATTCACGTTATACATTATTCCTACATTACGTTATACATTATTCACAATCGTATAAGCATCAACAATTCCGAAACTAAAAATATATTATTTTAATATCATTTTTAAATAGATATTTTCTTTGAGCAATTTTATCAACAACTAATAACAATAATTTAAACTTCAATCGGATTAAGTAAGTATCTATATTTTCGCATAATCTACACTGAAAATTTGGAAAATTTTTAAATAACTAAATAAAGATCCATATCAATAACTCAAATTGCGGAAGGTATATATTTATTCCTAAACGAAGAATATCCAAGATCCTTGGATTAGATTAACAAGAAGAAAATTCTAAATTTGAAATTTTTAACCTAGCAATACATGTTCTCTTAATACAGTATATATATAGATGTAACGTTTCTCCAATATTCCCTCATCCCCCACCTTTCAATACATTTCTGAATCTAAAATTGTCATTTTGCTATTATGTCTTCTTTCACCGATCTCTACTCCGTGAAGCCCTTCAAAACTCAATGGAGAGTTTATGTGAAGATATTGAAGGTGTGGAAACAGTACTTGAATGGTGTCGAGACGTTGGAAATGGTTGTTGTTGATGAGAAGGTATACTATCTATGTTACTTTTAAGCATTTCTACTAATCTATATATTTCACCACTGTCATTTGTTTTTTACTTTCATACAAACCTATGTATCTTTAAAGCATTCATATTCTTTTACATATACACAGAATCAAACCATGCATGTAACTTTGAAAAAGGAGTTCATCAAGAAAAATGAAAATCTCTTTAAGGAAGGTGCTTCTAGAATTATCACAAATTTTCAAGTAGCTCATAATGGTGGTAAGTTCAGGACAAGCCCTCACGTTTACAAAATCCTTTTCGCATCAACAACATCTGTCAAACCGGCAGAAGAAATGGATCCAAGAATCCTAGGTTTCAAGTTCGTCAAGTTTTTTGATAGGCAAAATGAAGGCAAAAATGAATCCAGATTTCATGAAGGCAAGTTTTTAATTAATAAATTATATCTTTAATATATAGTTTGTGTGCGTTACTCTAGATTACTAACATGATTTTTTTACCTCAGATGCTATTGGACAAATTGTGAGCATTGGGGATGTAGAGATCTTGAATGTTGGAAAGAGACAGACAAAGAGGCTTTCTATGGAGATCCGTGATACAGAGTTAGCATTTACATTACTAATCTATCACTAATGCTCTATATCTTTACTATTGGTGTTTAGTATCTTTTTTCAATAATTTACTTATTATGTTCAATGTAGAGATGTTTGACTTAATTGTGTTCTTTGGGGATAATTTGCTGAAAATCTTGAAAGTGTGGCTCAACATGTCAATGATGCTGTGATCGTTGCTGTTTCGCGTTTTGGAAAGTTAAAACTTTATCAATGTGTTTGGAGTGTTGGCAATTGCTACAACTGTTCGATGGTCATTACTGATCCAGTGTTTCCAGAGAGTTTGGGTTTTAAAGAGAGGTAAAACTACTTATCTCCATGTTTTTAATAATTTCTCAAGTTTTGTATTCTGATAACTATGTAATATAATTTATACAGATTGCCAAAAGATGGTTTAACCCTGACCTATACCCATCCAAATCAGTTGATTATTGTCAATTCTATATCAGTAAGGGACGATTTCTTCTTGCATAGTCCTCGAAGGACTATTAGCGAGATTATTGCTGCTTCTGAGGTAATTATATATTCTGACAGTTCGATTAATATAACCTAAATTTGATTCTAATATCATTATGCACTTTCAAAGGTTGTCAAATGTGTTACCATGGCCAAAATTATGTCTATAGACACTGAGTTTGACTGGTATTACATGTCATGTGGAGCCTGTGCTAAAAAGGTTCTCCCTCATGATATGGATTACTTAAAAGAACTATATCCTGGAAAAACATCTAAGAAACAATTATGGCAGTGCAAAAAATGCAATGAGGATGTTGAGAATGTTTATCCATCGTAAATCTGTTATTGTATTTGTGCTATAGTAAAGTTTTCACTTCTAATAAAGTTTAACTTATCCTATTTCAAATATATGATAGGTTCATGTTGACTTTTCGTGTCATGGATAATACTGGTGAAACCAAATTCCTCTTATTTGATCAAGAGGCAAAGGAAGTTGTCAACCAAACTGCTGCTCAGTTAATTAACTCAGTCTGTTAATGAGGTTCATATTTCTAATGCATTTGTCCATGACCGTTTCTGGCTTTATCTATTTAAATTTTTTTAAATTCCTCTTTGGTTAGATTCAGGATCCAGATGTCTTGCCCTTGGCTTTGAGCAATATTTGTGGTAAAACGTTTCTCTTCAAGATTGCAATTGCAAGTTCAAATATTGTTTTCAATAGTGATACATACAAGGTCATCAGTATAATTACACAAAGTGATGTGGTTAAGGAGTTTTCTGAAATCTCTACTCCTCAGGTGCAGTTATATCATTTGGTTATCAAAAAATATTTATACACTAATTCTTTATTTTTTACAATTCATTACTTTCACTTTTCGTAAAGCACTCCAAGTATCAAGATAGAGGAAAAAGCTCACAATACTCTTGATGGAAAGGTATATTTGTGTATTCTGTTTTCTTACATTCATGTGTACTATTATATAATACTTCCATTGATACAGATTAATTAATATGTTATAGGTTCCTCTAATGATTATGGATGATGATGATGCTGACATTACACCTACTTCTAAGCGCAAGAGCAATGAAAGTATGGAAGTGATTAAGGATATCGATGAGTATTCGACTGCAAAGAAGAAGTGTAAGGATGAAAAAACTGTTGAGACTAATCCAAGTACTCTGCCCCTTAAGACTGTGAAGACAGAGAAGCCATGATTTAAGAACCGAAATCAGTTATTTTAACTATTTTGTTATGTTTTAATCGTCTGAATAATTGTTTCTTTTATCATTGTTTTTTATTCTACTTAGCTTTTGGATGATTTTTTGTAATCGGATAGTTATTTTTTATCAATATTATGATGTCGTACCATTTTTCACACCATTAGTTTTTTGTTTTACTCTGTATATCGTTTTAGTAATTTTCTAATTTGTCTTTGAAATCTTATGATCACCATTCGAATGGAATCTAAAATTGTCATCTTGCTATTATGTCTTCTTTCACTGATCTCTACTCCGTGAAGCCCTTCAAAACTCAATGGAGAGTTTATGTGAAGATATTGAAGGTGTGGAAACAGTACTTGAATGGTGTCCAGACGTTGGAATAGTACTCAAACATAATTTGTCTTTGAAATCTTATGATCATCATTCAAATGAAATCATTGATATATTAAATGGTGTCCAGACGTTGGAATAGTACTCAAACATAATTTGTCTTTGAAATCTTATGATCATCATTCAAATGAAATCATTGATATATTAAATAGTGCTCAACCATAATTAGCTTATAATCAATTTTTGATGTATTACTCTTTATTTATTTATGGATTATTATTTCAAAAATTGTAAAGAAATTTAATATACTTATACAAATCTATATATCCAAAGATCCGTATAGCTACTAACCGAAAACAAATTCCATCAATAGCTAAAACTGAATAATGTATTATAACTTAAATCTTTTAATCGTATTATTTACTTTACTTAACTATAATTATCCTTTTAATTTGGCAATTTGTAACTAAATTGATTCTTTCTCTATATTTACGATCTATATTTGTGGATTTAGATATATAAATTTAAATGTAGAATATTTGTTTTCCTATTCATAAGGGATCACATTTAGTTTGAATTTTCGAACAAACAACCATTCATTCATATAAGTAAAGTTTTCCGCTTCATAACATTCTTTGTGTTCACGTTTACCTCTATTTACACTTATGTTCACTTTCTTATGCAATGCATAGTTCTAAAAAAAATCGTTATGGATACGAAAATGATGAAAACAGAATTCAAAAAAAACAGAAGACAGCATCTACCAGCCAAACACATTCTACAAAGCCTATTTTTGGTGCATTTGATATGATATTTAGAGATTTAAGCAATTCAAACGATTTGGTGAAGAGTTCATCTCGGATACATCTGACATATCTACTTCAAGTGAGTTTTTATCTATTATTTGCTTTACTTAATAGTTTTATACTTTGAATTATTTTTAAATTGTGTTGTCTTTTTTTGTTTATATACATAGATGAAATTCTTAGAGATGTCAGCAACTCTGGTTGTTTCTCTAAACGGTCAAACACACCTAAATCTCAACAGTGTATGTGAACTATGTTTTATTTAAAAAATCATTTTAGGAATTGTCTTATATGTTATATGTTATGATATTGTTTGTCTTCATATAGCATTACCAAGCTCATTAAAAGAAAACAGACCACCTATAAAGAGACCTTTGCAATGCTCACCATCTTCTGACGAAACGGGTTACCTATATCTCAACTACCATTTTTCATTTCTTGCTTTTATATATAGTAAGCTTATATGTTTATACATTCAATGCTAACATATATTATATTTCCAGGTATTAGGTTTGGTAACTTCATATCAGAAACTCAATTTTCACGGCCTAAAATCGCAAAACATAATACAACAATTCCTGATCTAAACCTAGCAAGCAACGTTATTCATGGTACTGGTGTTATCCAATCATCCTGGCAAACTAATAGGAATGAAACCACTACCTCTAATATTACCTATGCGACGTGCCGATCTGTTGTTAGCAAATCTCGAACAAATCCTAATTCACGGAAGCTAAATTCTGGTATTGCTAAATCTCTACCTTTACAGCCAAGTAAGAATAATTCCATTTATTAATAGTAGAATGGATTGATAACATTTTATCTATAAAAATTATTAACTCATTGTTTGTTTTTCAATTTTATTATCAGATGGTATCCTTTCATCAAATGATACTAATGTATCTGAATGTACAACCTCAAATACAACCTATGCGACGCCACCATCTGTTGTTAGTAAGTCTCGAACAACTCCTGTTTCACAACCCCAACATTCCGATCTTCCTAAACAAGTACATAGTGGTCCAAGTAAGATTACTGAATTGTATTTATATCTAAAAGATGTATCTGATTTAATATATAACATTCCTTTTGATTCAATATTCTTTGGTTATATGTTTTCACCAGAGAAATCAAACAAAAATACATCAAGCTCAGACACAGTTGATGAAATAGAGAAGTCATGTATCCTTCTCTTAATTAGTAATTCATTTTTTTCCTATTATTTTTAATTTTTATTATCCTTGAATACATATTAATGTAATCTTAACTCTGAATCTAAGTCATTATGTGGTGGAACTCTTCTGTTGACAAAATCATTGCTAGAGAAAGACATAATCAACTATCTAAATCTTTGTTCGAGAGACAGCGAAAGGCCAGACATAACAGAAAACATTTAATGAAAGGGATTAAGTTTAACGAAAGTCCTCATGGAACTGATACTATAGCAGAAGATTATGATCATGAACGTAAACCTGTGATGATGTTATATTACCTCAGTATATTATGATGATGGTGATCCGATGTATGAATGCACACACTGCAAAGCAAGGATGTGGTTTAATGAACGAATTCAGAAAAAGAAGAAGGGTGCAACATATATATTTACTATATGTTGTTTGCAGGGAAAAGTTAAGCTACCCTTACTTAACCAACCTCCTCCATTTTTGATATATCTCTTCTCGAGTGATGATGAAATTTGTCGCTATTTTCGTGAGAATATCAGAGCTTACAACATGATGTTTTCTTTTACATCTATTGGTGGAAAGATAAATTACGATATAAACAAGGGTCGTGGTCCACCCGTATTCCAACTACATGGTGAAAATTATCACTTAATTGGTTCTTTGATTCCTCAAAGGAAAGAGAAACCAAAGTTCTGTCAGCTGTATATCCATGATACAACTAATGAGATAACAAACAGAGAGAAATCAATCAGGTATGCACTGTACGTACTGTTTTAATATCCATTAACATTAGTGTTTACTAATGGTTAATATGTTTATCATGCATTACATTTAATTATGCACTTTCTTACTATTTCAGCAAGAATGTCTCTAGCTCGACAAAGTTAAGGCCGGCGTTAATTGAATGTCTCATGAAGATGTTAAACTTTTGTAATCCAATAGTGAAAGCTTTCGGTTCCTACAAAGACAGATACAATATTCAACAACCAGAAGACAATGTCAAGTTAGTTCTCATTGCTAACAGGAATAAAGATGCTAGAACACATAACATGCCAACTTCCACAGAAGTCGCAGCCTTGATTCCTGGGGATTTTCAAGAAGGAATGGATATACGAGATATTGTATTAGAGACTAAACACGGAAACCTCAGAAGAATTAGTGAACTATATGTGGGTTATCTAGCTCTTCAGTATCCATTATTATTTCCATATGGTGAGGATGGATTCACTGTTGGTATTGAAGACGGTTTTGATGATGGCAACAAATGGAAACGGAAAACTATAAGCATGCGAGAATTCTATGCTTATAGAATTCAAGATAGGTTAATGGAATCTCAGTCAGTCATTCGGTCTAAACGATTGTATCAGCAGTTTCTGGTTGATGTGTTTACTATGATAGAGTCTAGCCGACTTCGATATTTCAGGAACAATCAGAAGAAGCTTCGTTCAGACAAGTATATGAATCTGGTTGAGGCTGAAAAGGAAGGAACCTCTGATTTATCCAACAGAGGTAAGAGGATTTTGATACCTGCATCATTTACCGGTGGTTCACGCTATATGAACAATAACTATTTGGATGCAATGGCCATTTGTAAGCACTTTGGATTTCCTGATCTTTTTATAACTTTCACCTGCAATCCAAACTGGCCTGAAATAATTAGATATACAAAGAAGCGAAATTTGAATCCTGAAGATAGACCAGATATCTTCTGCAGGATATTCAAAATTAAGCTAGACAGCCTCATGAGTGATCTCACTGAAAAGAACATTTTCGGAAAAAGTGTTTGTGGTATGTTAAATTTACATTCTTAATATTTTTATTTATAATTTGATTAAAATTGTTATAGTAATCCATATTTGGTTGTTTTATATTAACAGGTATGTATACTATTGAATTCTAGAAAAGAGGACTTCCACATGCACATATTCTACTATGGAAGGCCGAAAAAAGCAACTTGTCTACTGCTGAATCTATTGATAAAGTTATTTCTGCTGAGATTCCTGACAAAGATACTGATCCGGTTTTGTATGAAGTAGTGAAGCAAAACATGATATATGGACCTTGCGGAGTGATTAACAAAAGTAGTCCATGTATGGTAAATGGGAAGTGTTCTAAGCAGTTTCCAAAGAAATATTGTGAAAGAACTACCATAGACAATAGAGGGTTTCCACATTATATGAGAAGGAAGACTGAAGCATTTGTTGAGAAGAATGGACTACAAATTGACAACAATTTTGTTGTGCCTTATAATAGAGAGCTATCGTTGCGATATAGAGCTCACATCAATGTTGAATGGTGTACTCAGGCAAGGTCAATCAAATACTTTTTCAAATATATCAACAAAGGACCTGATCGTGTTCTAGCTACTATTGACCATGATGTAAATCAAGGTGCAGAATCTATAGCATGCGCAAATGTAGATGAAAACGGCGAGGATAATACTGATGAAATTAAGGAGTACTTCGATTGCAGGTAATATTTAATTGGATAGAGATTGTATGCATGTTTTATAAGTTGTAAAAGTTTTTGATCACAAACTAAATATCTACTGATTTCTTTGTATGTAGATATGTTTCTGCATGCGAAGCTACATGGCGTTTGCTAGCATTTCTAATCCATTTTAGGACGACTCCAGTGGAGAAACTATATTTTCATCTTGAAAACGAGCAATCAGTACTTTTTGATGATGATGATCCAGTTGAAACTGTTCTAAATCGCAGGTCCGTACAGAGCTCAATGTTTTTAGCATTTTTGAAGCTTGCAATAAGTATCCAGAAGCTGAAAACCTAACATATGCTGAGTTTCCTACAATGTTTGTTTACGATCGTACAAATATTGAATGGAAACCAAGGGAACAGAAAAATAGGTTAGCCGTTGGTAGAATAACCTATGTACCTCTGAAATGTGGCCAATTGTACTACCTTCGTGTTCTACTCAACCGACACAAATGTCCTAAGGGGTTTGATGATTTGAAGACAGTTGATGGTGTTTTACATCCTACATACAAAGATGCGTGTTATGTATTGGGTTTACAAGATGATGATAGAGAATATATAGATGGGATTTGTTGGGGTCGGTTTTCACCCCACGTAGATAAGACCATCTCAAAATGACTACGTATGGAAGAAAGACAAGCGGGAGAGCCGTTCTCACCAAGCAGCAGAGCCGTTCTCACCAAGACAAGTGGGAGAGCCGTTCTCACCAAGTGGGAGAGCCGTGAAGATAGACCAGTAGGGAGAGCCGTGAGGAAAAGAGAGATGGGCCGAGCCGTATTGCAAGAAATGGGCCGAGCCCCTCTCCAACACGCCTGGGCCGAGCCGCGCCTCGGTGAGGTGGACCAGCTCACGTCTCGACTCAAATGGCAAGTGTCCCGAGCCGTGGAGAAGTTTAGATGGGCCGAGCCGCGGAAAAGCTTAGATGGGCTGAGCCGTGGAGAAGTTCAGATGGGCCGAACCGTGGCCTTGAGAGACAAAGCCCATAAAAACCCTAGGCGAAATACAAAGGCGGTGAGCCGCACGAGGCGATAAGGAAATATTCCGAAAATCTCTCCCGAGATTCTCGGCTAGGCGGTTCAGAGAGTTAGTATAAATAGACGATGTATACAATTCATTCAGTAACTTTTGAAACCCTAAGCAATAAGAGCTAAACACTTTTACAGCAAGAAAAATTTTCTTTCGATCTTTCTGTTCTTGACGATAAACCCTAGAAGTTTCCGATCCCTTAGTTTTCTTTACACAAATTTCTGGTTGTGCGAGTTTTGGCTCACACACTTTGGCGCCGACTGTGGGGAGTCGAAACTTTCTTACTCTAAATCGACAAGACTTTAAGATCCAAAGAATATGGCGAGCAACACCCCGACGATAACAACAACAACACCGGTAACAGCGCGGAGAAGGACGCTCCGGCATCGGGCACAACGACGGCAACGATCGAAACACAAGAGGAGATGCGAAACATGATGGCTGCGTTGATGAAGAAAATCGACGAACAGGATAAAAGAAACGAGGCGATTACGGAGAGGCTCGACGCGATGGCGGCTGAGCGACTACACCCAACTTGGAGAGCCGGGATCCCCGACCCGATGGATGGAATCCAGAGACGCTTCGATTTCACGACACCTGCAGAGCCTTAGGGAGCGGCGCAAGAAACCCCTCCGCTCCTCTAATGTCTCGTCTCCTCGACGAACAGACACCCGCGGCGACCCGAGTCAATATGACCGAGCCGCCCCCTCTCCGCCGAAACTCAAGACGACGAGCCGGCGAAGAAGAAAACGATGCGATCGATATAGACGCCCAACAGAACAACGGAACCGCAAATCTGCAACAACCGGCTTAGCTCGGCGAATAAGTCAAGAAGACCTCGCCTCGGCACTAAACGGCGTCCGAACTGACGAGCCGACAGTCCAACTGAGGAGGAAGAAAACCTCCAATGGATCGAGCAGGCAGAGCGCGAAGACGAGCCGAGGAGAGAGGAGCGAGAGCGACCCCCCCAATCAAAAGGAATTACTCACGCACAAACCCTCGAACTCAAAGAGCTGCGAGCCTCGATGGCTCGGACAGTAGCTGAAATACGCGCCATGAAATCCCAAGTGCACAACGCGACAAGCGCCGCACCCGAAATCGACCGAATGCTTGAAGAAACTCAGAGAACCCCATTCACTGCAAGAATCACGGAGGCCAGGATTCTCGAGCCGGGGAAGGTGAGAATCCTGTTCTACGAAGGGACAACCGACTTGAAGGCACACATCACAGTGTTTCAGATAGCGATGGGACGAGCCTTCACAAAGAACGCCGCTAAACTCACCGAGCGTGAAATAGATGCCGGATACTGCCTGCTCTTCGTGGAGCATCTCAAGGGAGCCGCACTCGAGTGGTTTTCGAGGCAGGAACGAAATTCAATCGGCAATTTTCAACAGCTCTCCGCTTTGTTCCTTAAACAATACTCGATGTTTATGGACAGAGGAACATCTGATGCCGACCTGTGGACACCATCCCAAGGACCGAACGAACCACTTCGGGATTACATGGCAATATTCAAGGCAGTCGTATCCAAAATAGAAGGGATAAGCGACAAGGCTGCGCTCGAGGCTCTGAAGCGATCTTTGTGGTACAAATCCGAGTTTCGACGGGAGATGGCTCTCAACGCGCCGCAAACAATCCAAGACGCTTTACACCGATCATCAGACTTCGTCGTAAACAAGGAGGAAATGAAAAACTTGGACGAGCAGTACGAAGCAATGAAAGCAGCAATCCGAAGCTCAATTTGTCTCGCCCCGCGAAGAAGGGCAACCCATCGAGCAACACAACAACGCAGAGCTTGGATGAACTTAGAAGCGGAGGCGCCCATAATTACCAGGTAGGCACCGGACGCGGAAGAGGAGAGCCGCGCAACAACACTTGGGTGAGAACAGCATCGAACAACACTTTGTTGCTGCGTGGGTGAGAAAGTCCGCCAACTACGACGAGAAGGCTTTCTGCGAGTATCACCAGACCTACGAGCATTCAACGGCTCAATGCCGAACTTTAGGAGCGAAGCTCGCAGCAAAGATGGCAGCGGGAGAGCTCCAAAACGCGGCCAGCCTCAAAGATCTCGTCCCTAACGAACAACAAGAGAGAGCCGAGCCGAGCGGTGCGGCAGAACCCGCGAATCCTCCCCGACGAGGCGATAACCCCAAGCGTGACAGGAGAGGCGAACCTGAAGAGCGACCCGAGCCGAGGCAAAGGATCAATATGATCATGGGCGGATCTCAATATTACCAAGATACCGTGTCCTCCATCAAAGCCTATCAGCGCCGAGTCGAAGCAAAGGAGAATCTCACAGAACCAACCGACATCCCAAACACAGTGATCTCCTTCACCGAGGAGGAAACAGCAGGAATCGATCGACCTCACAACGATCCGTTGGTGATCGAGTTAACGATCAGGGATCATGATGTAGCAAGGGTGCTCATCGATACTGGAAGCTCAGTGAACGTCATCTTCAGGGAAACACTCAGAAGAATGGGGATCGACCTCTCCGAGGTGGAAGCAATCCCCAAACCTCTAACCGGATTTTCAAGAGAAACGACGATGACTATGGGAACGATCAGACTTCCTGTGGTAGCTGGCGGAGTCACTAAGATCGTCGAATTCTGCGTCACCGATCACCCAGCAATATACAATGTGATCATGGGAACTCCGTGGATCAACGGGATGAGGGCGGTACCCTCTACCTATCATCTCTGCCTCAAATTCCCAACCCCAGCAGGTGTTAAAACGATCTGGGGGAGTCAGAAGGAGTCACGAATGTGCTGCCTAGCCGAGCACAAGCTAAGGAACCCCGTCACCGACGCACGAGCAGACGTCGACCGCAAAAAGATGAAGACAGACCGAGAGCCCGCGAACGAGCTCTCGAAACTCTTATAGCAATTACAGATCGCGGAGAGCCGCGAAACACGCGCCGAGCCAGTATGCGACGCAGTGGACTCGGTGTGTATAGATGAGGCGCGCCCGGAGCGATGCATCGAAATAGGAACAAAACTAGAAGAGCCTCTGAGAAGCGAACTCCTTTCCTTTCTCAAGGAAAACATCAACACTTTCGCCTGGACAACAGAAGATATGCCAGGCATAAGCATCGACGTGACCTGTCACGAGCTGAATGTGGATCCGACCTTTAAACCAGTAAACCAGAAAAGAAGGAAGCTCGGCCCCGAACGAGCTATAGCAGTTAACGACGAAGTCGAAAAGTTACTCAAAGTAGGATCAATCGCCGAGGCCAAATATCCGGACTGGCTTGCAAATCCGGTGGTCTTGAAGAAGAAGAACGGCAAGTGGCGAGTATGTGTGGATTTTACCCGACCTCAACAAGGCGTGCCCAAAAGACAGCTTTCCCTTGCCACACATAGACCGGCTCGTCGAAGCCACTGCAGGAAATAGACTGTTAACATTTATGGACGCGTTTTCCGGCTACAATCAGATCCTAATGCATCCTGATGATCGAGAAAAAACGGCATTCATAACTGATCGCGGGATATACTGCTACAAAGTCATGCCGTTCGGGCTCAAGAACGCAGGAGCAACGTATCAACGGCTCGTCAATAAAATGTTCGCTGCTCAGCTCGGAAAAACCATGGAAGTATACATCGACGACATGTTAGTCAAATCAATCAAGGAGGAAGACCACGTCGCGCATCTAAGGGAATGCTTCGAACAATTGAACAAGCACAACATGAAACTAAACCCGGCGAAGTGCAGGTTCGCGGTCACCTCGGGAGAATTCCTCGGCTATCTGGTAACTCACCGAAGCATAGAAGCAAACCCCAAGCAGATCAAAGCTTTAATTGAGATGCCCTCTCCAAGGACGAAGCGCGAAGTGCAGAGGCTCACAGGAAGAGTTGCCGCGCTAAACAGGTTTATTTCCCGTTCCACAGACAAATGCCTGCCCTTCTACGACACCCTCCGAGGAAACAAAAAATTTGAGTGGGACGAACGATGCGAGACGGCTTTCCAGGAATTGAAGAATTATCTGGCGAGCCCACCAATCTTAGCAAAACCAGTCAAAGGAGAGCCGCTCTTCCTCTACATCGCAGTGTCTGCTACAGCTGTAAGCGGAGTGCTTATCAGAGAAGAACGATCCGAGCAAAAGCCCATTTTCTACATCAGCCAGACATTGACTGAAGCCGAGACTCGCTACCCCCAGATCGAGAAGGTCGCCCTAGCTGTCGTAGTCTCGGCTCGGAAAGTGCGCCCGTACTTTCAATCACATTCGATTGTTGTGCTCGCTACGCTTCCACTGCGCTCGATCCTACACAGCCCTAGCCAATCCGGTCGGCTCGCCAAGTGGGCCATAGAGCTAAGCGAATACGACATCGAGTATCGGAACAGGTCGTCTGCAAAGTCACAGGTGCTCGCAGATTTCCTCATTGAACTTCCCGTCGAAGCAACAAACGAGCCGACTCTAGACGAAGTGTGGACGCTGCACGTCGACGGCTCGTCGTCTAAACACGGCTCGGGAATAGGAATCCGCCTCACCTCTCCCACCAGAGAAATATTGGAGCAGTCTTTTCGCCTGAACATCCACGCCTCAACGAAGCGGAATACGAAGCACTGTTCGCCGGCATACGACTAGCGCAGGGAATTGGAGTACGAAAGATAAGAACCTTTTGCGATTCACAGCTCGTGGCATGTCAGTTCAACGGAGAATACGAGGCGAAGGATGGACGAATGGGAGCTTACCTCAAAATGGTCCGAGAGTTGGTGCAAAAGTTCGATGAGTGTATATCGCCGATGGAGAGGTGCCAACCGACAAATGGGAAGCCCGCAAACTAAAAGCTCAGGCCGCGCAGTATGTCCTCGTCGATGGCGAGGTGTTTAAGTGGAGATTTTCAGGGCCTCTCATGACATGCGTCGAAGGACCGAGAGGCAAGAAAGATCATGCACGAGGTGCACAGCGGCGCATGCGGGAACCATTCTAGCGGAAGATCGCTTGCTATCAAGATTAAACGGCATGGCTACTTCTGGCCCACGATGGTCAAGGACTGCGAGAAATTTACAGCGAAGTGCGAAAAGTGTCAGCGGCACGCCCTAACAATTCATCAACCCACCGAGTTGCTCTCGTCAATTTCATCACCTTATCCGTTCATGAGATGGTCGATGGACATCGTCGGACCTCTACATCGCTCGAGGCACAAGCGTTTCCTGCTCGTCCTCACGGATTACTTTTACAAATGGGTCGAAGCCGATTCCTACGCAAGCATAAAAGATGTTCAAGTCGAACACTTCGTCTGGAAAAATATCATCTGCCGACACGGGATCCCCTACGAGATAGTCACCGACAACGGATCCCAGTTCATCTCAAAACGCTTCGAAGCCTTCTGCGAGAAGTCGAAAATCCGCCTCAGCAAATCTACGCCAAGATATCCTCAAGGGAACGGACAAGCCGAAGCAGCCAACAAGACGATCCTCGACGGTCTGAAAAAGAGGCTCGACGCCAAGAAGGGACGGTGGGCAGACGAACTCGAAGGAGTCCTTTGGTCTCATCGAACAACTCTGCGCCGAGCCACCGGGGAAACTCCATTCGCTTTAGTTTACAGATCGGAGTGCGTAATTCTCCCCGAGGTGGATTTTCCAGGTATTCGACGAAGACTTCTACCAGGACAGGAGGGCTTGAACCACTTAATGATGCTAGATGAGCTCGACCTAATCAACGAATAGCGCGACCAAGCCTTAATTCGAATACAGAAATATCAACAAGCAACGGCGCGATACTACAACAAAAACGTTCGTAGCCGAAGATTCAAAGCAGGGGAACTCGTCCTCCGAAAGGTCTTCCAAAATACTGCTGAGAAGAACGCAGGAAAGCTGCAAATTGGGAAGGTCCTTACAAGGTCACAAAAGTGGTTCGTCCAGGAGTCTACGAACTCGCGACACTAGCTGACGAGGCGATTCCAAGATCATGGAACGCAATGCACCTGAAGAAATACTATCACTAAGGATACAACACGACCAACATGAACTACGGGACGGCTTGATCCCTGCAAAGGGTACGTAGGCAGCCCGTCCTCGGACGGGTTCAGCTGTCCCCCCTCCTAAAAAGGGGGGGGGGGGGGAGTGGGTACGTATACATACCTCTTTTAATTCTACAATTTTAGCTTGCTCACTTAGGAACATCGCCACTTCGGCACATTCTCAGTTCGTTTTGAATCATCTACTTATTTCACGTTTGTTCATTATCGCTTCGGCTAGTTTCTCATTCTTTCTAAATCAGCAACTTATTGTAACAAGTTTGGATTTTTTAAATTTTTTCACTCATCACTTCGGCGAGTAATCATGACCTGGTTACCTCGGACCTTAATCGGTCCTCAGTTTCAGTTCGGCAAACTAAGCCACCGAACGTCTCGTCTCGTTGCTGGCCACAACGGGGCAACAAATACAAAGTTCTCTAAACGGACTTTTACCACCTTTCCTAGGACGAGGGTGCAAGTTACATCCTCTACGGATAAAAAATTAAGCGCGCTATACAAATATCAGACCAAAAACGTATCAGGTCGCCACGGTTTACTATCGCACACGAGAATATAAGCCGAGACTACATCGCTTTCTCTAAAAACCGAAGTAAACTCCTAAAACCCGGACAAGCATAGTCATCCTCTCGGAAACGCCGGTCCATAGTCAGATTCAATGAGAATACCAAATCGTCTTTGGCTAACAAAAACGAAACGCCTCGTCGTTCTTATTGCTCGGCACCATACAAAGCTAAAACGCCTCGTCGTCCTTATTGCTCGGCACCATACAAAGCTAAAACGCCTCGTCGTCCTTTTGGCTTGGCACCATGCAAAGCTAAAACGCATCGTCGTCCTTACAGTTCGGTACCATGCAAAGCTAAAACGCCTCGTCGTCCTTACGGCTCGGCACCATACAAAGCCAAAACACCTCGTCGTTTACACGGCTCGGCACCATGCAAAGCTAAAACGCCTCGTCGTTTACACGGCTCGGCACTATGCACAGCGAAAAAATGCCTCGTCGTTAAATACGGCTCGGCGTTGCCAGCAAAAAATTTGCCTCGACTTGATCACTTAAAAACTTTCCAGCACCACCTAAAAGATGTTCCACAAAACTAACTCCCAGCTCGGGATTAAGAATCCAAACGAGATCTTTAAACGACTCGACCCTTAGCCCGTATTTCTATCGACTTCGAAGAATTCGGCTAAGGAAGCAATCAAAATCATTTTCGACCCAGCAGTTTTCATCCTCGACAATTTTCTCTAAGCCAACGGTTCTCACGGATATTCGCACAGATCGTTGAAAATAAAGTGCATCAAATCCTAAAACGGCTAAGGAAAAAAGAATATATCCATAAGCAAAAATAAATGTCGGGTGGATAAAGCCGTCCAGGCACCGGTTACACAAAAGAATTCAGAAAACAGAAGCATGGACAAAACAGGGGAAAGCAGAGAGTATCAGGCCGCAGACTGCGTTTCACGCTCGGCGAAGAGGTTCGAGAGGACCGGCGTGCCCGCGTTTGATCCATTCGAATCTACAACGCCTAAGTTGGCCGCCGTCTCCTCGAGCGGCTCGTTGCCAAGGGTGGTGTCGACCGAATCCGGTGATACGGGAGAGTAATACAGCTCGCCTCGAATCTCGGAAGCAATACGCTCGTACGCCTCGTTGTCGGCATATTCACTCTCCCAGCTTTTCAGCTTCGCCTCCTCGTCGTCAAGCGTCGGGGCGTCCGGCTTCTTCAGGTCGGCAATCATCGCAAGATTGCCCTTGATCTGCCCCAGATCGTTCTCATCATTTTTGGCCTTCTCAAGCCTGACCAAACCCTCCTCCACCTTGGCAAGATGTTCCTTAAACTTCGCCGTAAGCTCTCGCCTCGCCTCCTTTTTCGCCCTCTTGACCTTGGCATCGAACAAGGCATCCTTGGCCTCAATACGCCTCTTCAGCATCGCCACCTCGGCGCTTATAGCCCTCCTCGTCTCCTCGAGGCGAATGACCGAGGCGGAGACCTTGTCAACGTTGGCGCGCAGAACGATCTTCTCCTCTTCCAGCTTGGACGCCCTGGCCACCGCCTCGTCCAGTTTCCCCTTTGCCGCCGCGGCTTCGGTCTGAGACTCTTCTAGCTTCGCCTTTGACGCTGCAGACTCATTTCGGGCCTCGGCCAAGCGACGTTCGACCTTAGACAGGTCCGCCTCGTATTCGGCCATCAGGCCATTAATGGCCGTGACAAACTGCAAAGAACAAACTCGCGTTAAAACATTTAGTAAAAATTTACGAAAATAAAGGAAAGCAAATAGAACGTATCTTGGTACCGCGCTGCGCCATCGCGCCATATGACCTCGGCCTCCTCAACTTTTCCGGAGGAGGAAGACACGTGTTCGCGTTATTTACACGCGAGAACATGATGGCGGAGGCGTCGGGGTCGTCGACGATCAACTTGCGCGCGGCGGGGTCCCCGGGCGTCGGCTTCCGCATCTTCTTTGACGGCTCGTCCTTCTGAACAGCAACGCCCTTCCCTTTGACAGCGGCCGAACGTTTCCGGCTCGGGTCGTGTTTCTGAACAACTGAAGTCGGGGGCCTTGTCGACTTTGGGAGGGCTAAAATGGCGGAGTTCGAAGGAGTTTTGCTCCGCACCGCCGAATCATCCCGGGACCCCTCGGGAACAATTTCGCCCGGTTCCACCTCGGGCGCTGCATTTCTCCCAACCACCTCGGCTGTGTTGCCTTCTACGGCTCGGGTCATTTCGTCTCCTTCCCGGCTCGGGGGGTCGGGCTGAGGGATGGCCTCGGTTTGCGCTGGAACCGCCTCGGTCTGCGCCTGAGCCGCCTCGGCAGCTCGTCTCGCGGTCTCTTCTGCCTCGCGCCTCTTCCTTTCTCTAAGAGCGATTATCACCATCTTCTCTCGGGTATCCCTTGAAGAACTTGAGGACGAAGAGCTGACGGGGACTCCGGCAAGGATGGCTCGCGCTTTTTCTACTCTTTCGAGGGTGAAGTTCTTTCTCCAATTAACCTTCCGCGCCGAAAGAGAGTCTCGAACAGTAAAGAGGTCGTCGGGAATAGGGGGAAGAAAGCACTGAACTGCAAAACAAAGCAAAAAAGAAAAATTTTCAGAAAAGGAAGAGGATACCAAAAATAGTTCCGAGCCGAGGCAAAGCTTCGGGTCGGCTACCAAGTGGCCCCCAAGCGGTCTTGGTTCTTTGAACGTAATTCTCGCCGACCGACGCCTCGTTCACCAAGACGTAGAAGAAGCGTTCAGTCCAAAATTGATCCTTGCTGGGAAAACCGCCGATGATCCGTCGCTTCGCCTTGTTGGAAATATAGAATCTATTTCCCTTCGGAGCTTTCCCTACTTCCAGCAAGTTCAGCAGGTGATTCAGCTCGATATCAACTCCGCACTCGAAGCTTCGAACTAAGATGCCAATCATATGCCGTAATCCCCTCGGCATGATTTGCCCAATCGAGATCCCGTGTTTCCAGAGATATTCGAGGATCACTCCGGGGATCGGGAACCAGAGGAAGTAAAGCTCGAAGAACGCCTCGTACAGAGTGAAATGATTCTCTGGAGGGTTGTCGGCTCGGTCACTCGTCTCTAGAACGACGAACTCCACCGCCTCGGATATCCCGAAGCGATGCCTCAACGCCTCGAGCGACTCAAGGGAGCAGAGCGTAGAGCCATGCGGGTCAGGTTTTTGTCTCTTAACTCTTGGCCCTCGCCCAGATATGGAAGCGCCTCGGGACGCCATGAGACGTTCCAATTCAAGCTTCGCCTCGAAAAGGTCAAAGGGAAATGCCTCCTCCTCGGCCTTGAGTGCGGCGCGGTTAATGTCCTCATCAGGAACGGGATCCTGGGGACGGCTCGTCGAAACCGACGGCTCGCCATCCGAAGAGCCGACATCTGATGGGTTTGCATGGTTTGACGCTTCGTCAGATGAACGATTGGAGGGGCTCGGCGAAACAGACGCCTCGGAGGATTCTGCCGTACCTCTCGCCTTGGCATCTACGCGGCTCGGCTCGTAATGAAAAAGTGAATCCAACGAATCGTCGGAGCAGCTCGACATAATTTACGACTTGTACAAGAGTTACAGCACGACTCGGCGAGCCTCTACCGGAAAAAGATCTGGAACGGCGGAGACCTCGGAAACCCTAGCCGGAAAATAAATAAACTAGAGAGAGAGAGAAGAGAGAAGGGAGAGCTACCGTTAGTAAAAACGAGTGAGTCTGAAGATAATGAGGAAGAATGAAGGAGCTCACCCATTTATAGGAAAACCGAAGCGCGTGAATTCCGCGTAAACCTTGGGAAACCATCCAAACAGCGCGTGGAATCCACAGTGAAATGGCTAGATTGAACTGCGTCGGTCGCACGCGCCAATAAATCAGGAATCTTCTCTCGGAAGACCAATAGTTGGGATATCCAAGTTTTCATCCGGTATCTCACCAAAGTAAACGCCTCGTCGTTAAACGAAATGGCACGGCATTAACTCTTTCTTTTGAAACGCCTCGTCGTTAATGAAACGGCTCGGCGTTAACTCTTGCTCTCGAAACGCCTCGTCGTTAACGAAACGGCTCGGCATTAACTTTTTCTCTCGGAACGCCTCGTCGTTAACGAAACGGCTCGGTACGAACTTCATCTCAAAACGCTCGGCATTAACTCCCTCTCTTAAAACGCCTCGTCGTTAACAAAAACGGCTCGACACGAACTTTCTCTCGAAACGCCTCACCCTTTATTCGGCTCGGCATAACCTTCTCAAATCGCCTCGGCTCATCATTACCAAACAAAATTGCCTCGTCCTTAAACTTGCCTCGGCACCCTCGGCACTCCCTGGAAACGCCTCGGCGTCTTCATTCCCAAAATACCTCATCTGGGCTTATGTCATAACAGCTTGACTCGATGGTTTATCCTACGGTCAGGAGTAATGGACCTCGTCACTCTCGCCTCCGAAACTGACGAGCTGGGGGGCTAACTGTTGGGGTCGGTTTTCACCCCACGTAGATAAGACCATCTCAAAATGTCTAAGTATGGAAAAAAGACAAGCGGGAGAGCTGTTCTCACCAAGCGGGAGAGCCGTTCTCACCAAGACAAGTGGGAGAGCCGTTCTCACCAAGTGGGAGAGCCGTTCTCACCAAGTGGGAGAGCCGTGAAGATAGACCAGTAGGGAGAGCCGTGAGGAAAAGAGAGATGGGCCGAGCCGTATTGCAAGAAATGGGCCGAGCCCCTCTCCAACACGCGTGGGCCGAGCCGCGCCTCGGTGAGGTGGACCAGCTCACGTCTCGACTCAAATGGCAAGTGTCACGAGCCATGGAGAAGTTTAGATGGGCCAAGCCGCGGAGAAGCTTAGATGGGCCGAGCCGTGGAGAAGTTCAGATGGGCCGAACCGTGGCCTTGAGAGACAAAGCCCATAAAAACCCTAGGCGAAATACAAATGCGGTGAGCCGCACGAGGCGATAAGGAAATATTCCGAAAATCTCTCCCGAGATTCTCGGCTAGGCGGTTCAGAGAGTTAGTATAAATAGACGATGTATACACAATTCATTCAGTAACTTTTGCAACCCTAAGCAATAAGAGCTAAACACTTTTACAGCAAGAAGAACTTTCTTTCGATCTTTTTGTTCTTGACGATAAACCCTAGAAGTTTCCGATCCCTTAGTTTTCTTTTAACAAATTTTTGGTTGTGCGAGTTTTGGCTCACACAGGATTAATGAAGCAAGCATGTGGGGTTCTGGTGACTTCCTTCGAAAACTGTTATGCGTTATGCTATTGACTGATAGCTTAATTAATCCATTTGGAGTTTGGGAAGAAACTTGGAATTTGCTATCTGATGATATTCTTTACAGAAGAAGATTATTTGAAAACAATCCAGGTATTTCTTTTATTTTGAAAAAATGGTCTCTAACTATATATCTTATGTATACCATAATACTTTATGCGAATATGAAGTATTGGATTTATATAAATATGATGTGATCATTTTGCAGAACTGGACCTCTTTGATGAACAGCTAAAAAATTACACATTGGATACAATTGAAACTATACTGCAAAGCAATGGTGGTTCTCTTTCAAATTATGATGGAATGCCTTTGCCAGAGGGTGATTACAACACAGCTGGTATCAATAAATTAATATACGATGAAAGAAACTATGATAGAGAGGAAATGAAGGCTATCGTAGAACGAATGGTTCCTGGTTTAAATGACGAGCAGATGAATGTCTACAAAGAGATCATGGAAGCTGTCACAGAAGATAAAGAGAAAATATTTTTCTTATATGGGTTCGGTGGTACTGGAAAAACTCATTTATGAAAACTACTGTCTGCTGCTGTTCGTGCTAGAGGTGAAATTGTTTTGAATGTTGCAAGTAGTGGAATATCATCTTTGTTATTGCCTGGTGGTAGAACCGCATATTCCCGTTTCGGTATACCAATAAATCCAGATGATGACACTACTTGCAATATTCAACCTGGAACAGACTTAGGGAATTTGGTTGTTGAGACATCTCTTATCATATGGGACGAGGCACCTGTGATGAGTAGATATTGTTTTGAAAGTTTGGATCGTACTATGCGTGATATTATTAAGCGTCATAAGGAAAAACCATTTGGAGGAAAAGTTGTTGTGTTTGGTAGTGATTTTAGACAAATTTTGCCCGTTATCAGTGGTGGAGGAAGGGAAGACATTGTTATGGCTTCTATTAATTCGTCATATTTATGGGATCATTGCAAGGTGTTCAAGCTTACAAAAAACATGAGGCTTTTGGCTAATCTTGATGAAACCGTAGCAGAGGAAATCAAATCATTTTGGATTCTTAAAGTTGGCGATGGTAAAATTAATCTACCAAACACATGAGAAGTTATGATCGACATTCCTGATGAACTTCTAATAAAAGAATGTGATGATCCCATTAAATCTATTGTCGAGGAAGTTTATGGTTTAAGTTTTGAAGAGCAAACCGATCCTCATTTTTACCAGGAAAGGGCTATTTTGTGTCCAACGAATGACGATGTATGCCTCATCAACGAGTACATGCTTTCTATGTTGACAGGTAAACACAATTACCATTTTTTATCGTTTACTTCATTTAGTTTTTAAGTTTTTTTATTATATTGATATACTGTATTGATATATCTATAAATTTTTATTATCAAGGTGAGGAGAAGACTTATCTAAGTTCTGATTCTATAGATCCATCTGATACATCTAACCAGGATAGCAGAGTATATACTCCTGATTTCTTGAATAATATAAAGTTGTCTGGTCTTCCTAATCATTCTTTGAGATTAAGAGTAGGAACACCAGTTATGCTATTAAGGAATATAGATCCAAAGGCTGGTTTGTGCAATGGGACAAGGCTACAAATCACCCAATTAGCTGATCATATCATCAAAGCTATTGTTTTGACTGGTGACACTCATGGTCAGAAAGTTTATATTCCAAGGTTGAATGTCGCACCTCCTGAAGGAAAATTTCCATTCAGAATGCGAAGAAGACAATTTCCTTTGGCTGTTGCCTTTGCTATGACCATAAATAAAAGTCAGGGTCAGACACTTTCAAGCGTCGGTCTATATCTGCCAAAACCTGTTTTCTCTCATGGCCAGTTATATGTTGCTCTATCTAGAGTAAAATCAAAGGATGGGTTAAAGGTGCTTATTATTGACAAAGATGGTAAACCTCAAAAACAGACAATGAACGTTGTATTCAAAGAAGTGTTCCAGAAGATATAGTTTCAACATTACTGGTAAGTTATAACTTATACTAATGTTTACGTTTGCTTAGTATGATTTTTTAATTAACATGTATGATGGATTTGTAATGTATTCAGGAAGTTGGAAGGAAAGCTATTGATGTCGTGTTTATGTTTGGTTTATAGCAATATGTTGGTCTACTATTTGATATTTATGTATTATTACCCACCAGGATTCATTAGTTTTTTTTTTATATGCAAAATTGATTTATGACAATCTCAACAGCTTATATTATAATTTGATAAAGTTTGACATAGAAGTTTGTTTTATATACATTTGTATACAATTAAATACTAACTGGAATCATTCATATTTGTAGATTACAAATAATTCCTTATATGTACTGATGTCTTGCCTAACCAATACCCTCCTCACTTAATTACAGTCTGCTTCTCACCTCCAAGCAAGTAGAAATTATTCAAGTTATACAAGTTCATTAGAGTTGATATTCAATCAAATAAAGTTATTGATCTTATTAATTTATTAGTGTGTAGCGTTGATTTACTGATATAATGATATGCATGGATCTTTTAGATTACACAATATATTTCACGTTGATATCGAACAACTATATCCCGAATATCTTGGCAGTTACCTTTTCCATAATATTCCATATAGTTAAACGAAAACCCTATCACAAAGATGTTACTTTATATAAAGAGTATACCGTGTTATATTTTTAACGATTTGCCTTACTTTGATTCTTATATGCTTCACAGTCATGAGTTGTATTTTCGATTATATATCTGATTTAGATCCGTTTACTACTGATTGGAAAATTAGAGTTAAAATTATTCAGAAGTGGAAACAATATACTCCACATCGGGGAACTACTCTCAATATGAAACTATATGACGAAGAGGTAATCGTAATGATATCCTTGCTTTCGTTTTCAGTATTTTAATTATTTACTACATTAAGAAACACGTTTAGTGTTTGTTTTGCAGGGCCATACAATTTATGCTACAGTTTATAGAAAATACATTCAATTCTTCGAGAATAGTATTGTAGAAAATTTGTAGGTTACAATAGAAGATTTCACTCTTATTCCGATTCAGGATGAAGACATTACCACAACTTCCAACTTTATTATTCAGTTCATAATTTATACTGTTGTTACTCCTATCAGATATGTGGAAGGTATTTCAAACTCCTTTATTGTAATCAGAATGTAATATTAATGGTTATTTCATTTTAGATTAATTAAATATCAGTAATCTATTAATGCAGTTTGTAAAACGAGTCTGCAAGAAATTAGATGTATCAGCCATTAAAGATTTATTAGGTATTGTACGTACTAATTTTCAGAAATTGTTTAGGGCTTATTATATTAACATTTTGCCTTTACTCACTATATTTTATCATTTTACAGGATTTATAATCAATGCAACTGAGAATAATCGAGTACAACCACATCTCAACATACAATATTCAGTTCGTCATAATATGAAAATAATTTGTTTATATTATTATTTATAATCAGTTGTAGTCTATTTTCTTGAAATAAACAATGTTATCAGATTTATTGATTACTGAAATGTATTATCAAGCAGTTAGATTTTTAATCTGACACTTTATGTAGTCCTTTGTTGTAATTATATTTTACAATCTTTAGAGTATTCTATTATACTTTCTAATATGGACTTACCATATTCCATCATGCATAATTTTGTAATTATTGTATGTAATTGTTTTTAAATTATTTGAGTCTTCCCATATGACGAACCTTACTACTTTCCAAATTATATTTGAATAATCATATCCAATATTTGTATGACATATGAAACTTTCCTATATTAATATCACGAATTTAGTCTAATAATTTATTGAGACATTAAAATAATATATATTACCTTAATTCCTGCGTTATATATATACGCTATATATATTTGAGATTTTTTAATATAACGCATTGTTGCGTATACAAATTATCATCGAATATTCTCTACTACTTTTGTAGTTGATTTGAAAACGCAATGACATAAATCTGTTTTCTTTTTATGTCTTCAATACATATTGACTAGCTGTGTAAGTAACTTTATCGATATGATAAATATATATTGATTATATACGGGCATAATTTGATGTAAATAAATATCATACAATAATGGAAATTAAAAAAAATATCTAAACACATTAATATTTCCGAGACCACAGACTTCTTACCCTTTTCTTATTCAAACCTTCAGTTACTATTTTCCAGAAAATCAAAAGCTCTGTGGAATACCCTTCAATGGAAGACTATGACCTCATTTCAGATCTGCATTCTGACCAGACAAACTGGACTATAAGATGCAAAGTTTTGAAGAAATGGCATGTAAAACATCCAAGGGAACGTCCATCGTTACAATTTATGTTGATGGACGAAGAGGTACTTATTTTATTGTTCTCGTATATTGTTTGATTTTTGTTATATTACATTGAGATATTGGTTTGTATTTTCTAAATTATCTTATATATTCAGGGTGAAACTATTCAAGCTTATCTATATATTACTGATTTAATCAAAGCTTTCGACAAGACAATTGAAGAAGGAGAATGGATAAGTATTTCAGAATTTGTGGTCTTTGATGAAACATCAGATGAACCATATTCTCCTATTGGTAGTTGTATCAGGTTTTTAAATAACACTGAAGTGGATCACATAGATCCTATCGAATTTGATACTGCACTAGGGTTTTATTTCTTTTTCTGATGTGTTTGGTGGCAAAACAGAGCCTGGTCTTCCTATCAGTATAGTTATGCATATTATTATAAATCTTATATTTCATTACTATTTATCTTAATTAAGAAACTGACTACATAGCATATAAATTGTAATTTGATTTTCTTCTTCAGATATTCTCGGGTTTGTTATCAAAATTGATCCACTGGTCACGGTGAATGATGATTCATACCCTGAAAGACAGGATAAGAAGACTGCCAGTATATCTTTCACTATCATGGATCATAAGTAAGTTTCCAATGTTTTTTGGTTGATGTATTTGTTAATGAGTCAAAAAACAGTTTATTTGTTAAATAATATGTTGTTGTAATCGATATGTAGAGGGCTATTGTTATCGTGTGTTGCATTAGGACCACATGCAATTGATTTCAATGACAAGATCTTCAGTGAAAATCAATTACCATTTGTTGTTATGTTAACTGACTGGTCTGTTAAACAAAGAGAAGGTTAGTAGAAATTACATTATTAATATTGATTGATTATTGATTTCTTTATTGTCATATCTATGAAATAACATTTATATTATTGTCATAGCTGGATACTATATTCGGTCTAGAGGAGGGATTTCTAGAATCGAGTTTCATCCTGATTGTCCACGAGCCAAAACTTTCGTTAGAAGGTAAACTATTATATGCAGCTTATTTTAAACATATTCAAAATATTTGGTTTGATATGTTTGCTTACAATAATTTATTTATTTGCAGGTTTTGGAACACCCAGAATAAACCTACAAATATCATTGATTTGGGTTGTAATGATGATGAGGCAAGTCCATCTTCCGTGAAGCCTAGAAACTGATCGAAAATCATATTTGAGATTTCAATATGTTTAATTATTTACTTTTTTATAAATGTCTTTGTTTCTTTCTTTGTATCTGACATGAATTTACTTATGGGATGTTTGAACTTTGCTTTTTATTGAATTTACTATTGAGTTTATGAAGTAACAAAAATGCTTTTCATTATGATTCTGTTGTCAATATTTATATGAACTCAATAATCTGAAATTTACTTTTTTAATACATGTTTTATAAATATGAACTCAATAATCTGAAATTTAAATTTTTAATGTTTAATAAAACTATATATATATACGGTTATGTTCTTTGGCAAAATCGTAATCATAATATAATAATAATGCATGTTTTTGTCAAATATTTATTTTATAGTAAAATGTAACCAATTAATTTCATATCGTTTGGTAGTTGGATTATTGTTGAATACATAATTTTAGGACCTGTGCATGCAAAGTGAAAATATTGACTTGATTTGATCGATATCTGATTTCAGCTTTTTATTTATTGCTATTTTCGTTCGAAATATTTTTGCATGTATAGATTCACATCGCATAAACTTCACTTTGATTTATATACATTTTGGTTACTAAACAAACTTATACTCAATTTAATTTTCCAATATATAAAATATTCATGTCGATTTGAAAGTATATATAGTTTCTTAATTATTTATGAAAATTAAATATTACACAACTTGATATTGAAATTTAATTATAGAAAGGGAATTAATATAGTCTCTGTAACTTTGCATAAATATTAATTGGATTTGATAGAAATATGTTTGTATCGTTACATTTGTAACTTCCTTTTTT